CTTTAACTGGGTGACATGTCTTTTGTCACCTCCTATATCACCATGACACTCTGCTTTGAAAGGTGCTAGTTGCCATTCACACCTATCGCCACGTCACTATTAACCAATTTCTTTTGTCAGTTTCCGTGATGAGCTTATCTCCCAGAGGTTTTGGATGAAATTAGTCCTAAATCCTTGACACCGAGAGTAGGACTTAGACCTCATGACTAAGATCAAGGCTCCTTGCAGTGTTGGTTATTTCCTCTCAAACTTTGGTATTTTTAAGCAAGCACTTTTCAATCAAAAATGCTCATCTTTACAACCCGGAAGAGAAAGTGAGCCGTGAGATTGGGCTTGACAATTAATTGGATCTGTTTGAATTGGTAAACTTGTGAGGATGGAAAGTCAGGCAATTTGTTTTTGCCCGGGAAGATCTTTGTTTAGATCTGAAGTACAGCAATTATGGGGATAGTGAAGCAGTGCTATACTTCGATACAATTTCAGACTGCATTGTCCTTTGTTACAGCAATTTGCTTGCATAAGGGAGATTCATCCATTAAACAGAACTAATTACTTCATTTTATGGGAATGATAAATTGGTGCTTGCATTTCCGTATGTTCACTTTCGACACTGCGATACCGTGTATCCGTCTGTTTAGTTGTCTCCTCCAGCAATCAAGGCGCCAGCTTTCAGCTGGTGATAAGTACAATCAAGGTTGTCTGAAGATTGGAGAGTTGTTAAATTCACCTCTTGTGACGGATTTGTCACTTTGGCATAATAATGTTTGCGCCTCTTAAATGGTACTCCTTTGTTTGCCAGAGGCAGGATTACGGTGACGTCATTATTTACTTACAGGTTAAGGCCATTCGACTCTCTGCGGCACCTTTCACAATAGAGAACGGAATGCTGACTCCCACAATGAAAACTGCTCGTGAAATCATCCGACGTCATTTTGGATCCGCCATCAAGGCTCTCTACCAACCGACTGCAGCCATCTAACTCATACCTGCATCGCGTTCGCCTAATGTACCTCCCCTCTTTGTGTGCTTGTCTGTATGAAAATGAAGGTGTGTTTGGTATTTATCACGTCTGTAATGCTGTATTGTTGCAAGGTATCGGTCCTTCCCCTCCCTCATTTCTTTTGAGTTTCTATCCGTGTGTGTGTGCTCATTCTACTCCATCCTGCTAGCCATGGAAGGCAAAACAGGTCCCTCCGTTACGTATGTACTCATTTCCGTTCTCCAGTGCACACGTAAACGTGTTCTTTCCGACTTCTTCTTTTCCCTTCTCTCGCCTCCATCCCGTCCCCATATCAGTACACGTACGGGCATTGAGACCGTTTTTTCATGTGCATCCGAAATTCCTTCGAGGTGTTCGTTTCATATATATATATATATACGTATATATGTAATGATAGTTTATGCCGTTCAGTCTTTTGGTTGTTGGAGTTGAGTTATTTGTGTGCAGTGCTTTGGTTCGTTTCATTTGAATCCAAAGTAGAAATACTGGATAAGATTGGATGGTGTCTTCTCTGACCACCTTTCTTCCATTCCTGTTCACAGATGTCATCTTTGTGTAGGGAGGTCATTGGATTGGTGCTTTTTGGGTCGGATGATGGTCTCCTTTGCTGATCGGCGAGAGTTGTTACTGGTGCATGGCGTATACTTGGGCCTTGCATATTTATGTTCGTGCTGACACCTTCAATTAACGAAATCAAAAGTGAAAGGACCGGTTTTCTCATTTTACTTTATTACAATAAGAATTAGAGACAATGAAAAGAAATGACGTTGGATCTTGCAAATGGATGAGGGC